GCTGGTTTCCAGCCATTTCCAGCTTGGTCTTAGCTGGTCAGGCTGGAAAATTACCAGCTAAATCCAGCTAAAACCAGCTGGACCAGCCTGGTTTATGCTGGACATAGCTGGTTTTGGCTGGGCTCCTAACTTGGCTAGGCTGGTCAAGCTGGTTTTAGCTGGTCATCTCCCAGCCTGACCAGCTAAGACCAGGCTGGAAATGGCCAAAACCCCTCTAAAACCAGCCTGGTCAACCAGCTAAAACCAGCCAACCAGCTTAGGCTGGTTTAAGCTGGATTTTTCAGCAGGGCTGTTATTTGATATATTTGTAGTGGAGTTAACTCAAGCCTTTCTACAATGATGAGTCACAGACAATATCGTAATAAAGTTTGCTTGCGTGCATTCGCTTGCAAACACACACACACACACACACACACACACACACACACACACACACACACACACACACACACACACACACACACACACACACACACACACACACACACACACACACACACACACACACACACATACATACATGCACGTTTAGCTTTGCCCTGTTTTTGCATGGCATATGTAACAGGATACACATTAGAATCCACTGCTGGATGGATATCTGTTATGTTAATGTACAAAATAAACCTGCTTTAAGTCCACAAACCAGGATTGCTTTTTCTTTTATAATTCTTTTATAATTGTACTTGCATGCGGTCATGGTGATGAATTACATAGCGATTTTACTGTTTTCTTTTATTTTTATTTTTATTTTTTTTACAAACGAGCACTGTTTTAAAAAATGTTTTAAACTTGTAACACAGTGAGCTGAACAGTTCTTTTAATCAGTTGCTTTGTGCAAATACTGTCTTGTGAATGCCTGTTACTACGGAAAAATATAAATAAGCATCTGTCAATCAATTTGGTGTGCGGGGAAACCGCACTCCTATGTCATGTTGTGGTGGGCCTCAAGATGGGAGGGATTTGGATCCTATTTTAATGTCAGGAAATTAAAAAAAAAAAAAAAAAACTATCAGTCCAATATGACTGTGGACACACTGTACCTTATAAAAGATTTTCATCATAGGTGCCCTTTAAGTCCATGTTAAGTGGACATTGCTGAGACTTCAGTTTGTTGATGTACTTCTAACTGATTAAAATTACTGAGTATTGGATGGGGCTTTCTTTTGCACATTATTCCATCACAGCATATAAATTGTAAGAGAGGCATGGTTAGAATAATGCCATGGAAGCCATCTGTCCAGACTGTGAGAAAATAATAACAGAATTAAAGTTCTTGAATTAACTATCTCTAAAGAATCTTTAAGCCCTATCATTGCATACTTGAGCAAGGGTAAATTGGGTCATGACCTCTAAATAACCATTGACCTTGACCCTATAAACCCTTGAGGTTTTCACTGCAGGCAGTCTATACCCCTGTCAGCTCACTGCATCTCAAACCCACCGACAACAGCAGGCATAAGAGGCGGAGGGATCTGTCCACAAGCATCTATTCCTCCCAAAAACAACGTTTGAGAATAAAATGACACCAATTAAAATGAAGAGCAAGACCATCTGATGCCAGATGATAGATGTCATACCGATTCACTAAGTATCGCTTGGCCTTCAAATAAATATTATAGGTAGAAAAAAAAAGTGCAAAATAATTCAGAATGCCTCAGCATCAGACAGCGTGGCAGAGGCCTGGGGATATTACTTAATGAGAGAGAGAACGCAAGGGCACCAGAGATGAGCGCTGCCAGAGAGCGATAAAAGAGGGATGGCAGATAGCAGGAAATAAATGGAAACGGAAAGAGAGATAGACACCCAAAGCCAGAGAGAAGGATCGAGGGAAGGAGATAAATGGTTAAGCGGAGAAGGAAGGAGAGGAGAGAGATGAAGGCTGACAGAAACAAACACTGGTAAATGTGGGAAGAGAAGTGTAGAGATACGGAGATAAAGAAAACAGGAGATGGAGGATACTGGGAAAGAGAAAAGAAGGAAAAAAAGGGTGGATGAGAGGGGATTGAAGCCAGATGCCTGGAGAGAAACTACAGTCACCTAAGGGGCAGAGTTGGCGTGAGGAGAGAGAGACACAGAGAGAGAAAGAAAGACTGATCTCACATCTCTCTCATTCTCTGCACCCTCCATTTCACTCCATCCCTTCCCTCATCACCTCCCAGAATTCATTGCGCTTAGCGAAGCTCTCTTTGTTTCACAGCTCCAGTAGGTTTCTCCAGCTGTCAGACAGCATTGTGTGAATTAAATGAGTATCAAGACAGCGTTAGCATTCAGAAGTTGGAGTAATGAGGAGGGGAATGTGTCCAAACAGGACTACTTCAGATTTCTTCCAAAACCTAATCTTACAAGGCAGCATTCTAACCGCCGTGGCACCTCATAAGGGAGTGATTTGGATCATTCTCTGTGAGCAGCAACTACTGCTTCAGTGCTGTACAAATAATAATAAAAAATAGCATTTAATGAGGCTGAATGATATTTAAATCAGTATAAAAATATAAAAGTTGGAAAAAATAACTGGGCAGGCAAGACACTATAAGCATTAACATTTTCATTTTTTGACTGGTCATATTGAGATTATATTCATTCATTCATTTTTTTTTGTTTCGGCTTAGTCCCTTTATGAATCCAGGGCACAGCGGAATGAACCGCCAACTTATCCAGCATATGTATTATGCAGTGGATGCCCTTCCAGCTGCAACCCATCTCTGGGAAACATTCATACACACTTATTCACACTCATACAGTATGGACAATTTTAGCCTACCCAATTCACCTATACCGCATGTTTTTGGACTGTGTGGTAAAACGGAGCACCTGGAGGAAACCCACGCGAACAAGGGGCAAACTCCACAGAGAAACGCCAACTGACCCAGTCGAGGCTCGAACCAGCGACGTTGTTGCTGTGAGGCGACAGCATTACCTACTGCGCCACGGCGTTCTATCTCTGCACGATCAATCAAAATAAATACAAAATCAAGATTAATCAAAAGCTTTGATTGTCATGCACATCTTTTCTGGGAAGCATGATTGTGTGATCTGTAGGATGTCCAGAGGGCGCTCTCGAGCACCTAAACTCCAAACATTCATGAAGAAACCCAGCAAATACCCATAATAAATGTTGAATGAACAAAAGAATTAACAGCCTTCATTGCTTCAATAAGATTACTAATCACACAATATGATCAGACAATCTCATAGAAGAATTTATTTAAACACTCGACTGAAGTTACGAAGTGAGAAAAAACATATTATTAAATATGGTATTTTCACATGCTTTCAGATGTAGAAGAAACACAGCGATAGTTCAGTGAGAAGCTAAGCAAACAGCTGTCATTATATTATTACAATCTGAAAGCACCTGCTAGATATTTACTGCTGAGAACAGAACCAGCTTTACTGACAAAATGCACATAAAATTGCCACTGATTAATTGCATTGCCAAACCAATAACAACAAATCATCACCTTAGAATTATAAGGTTCTATCTGACGTTTTTGTCAAAATTGAGTTATTGACATATTCTTATTAAATGACAACTTATTTACACTATGGGATGGTTTTTTAAAAGTTGTTTACATTTTAAGACATTTTATTAAAAAAAAAAACAAAAAACTCAAATGTTACAGACATACTGTTTGCTACATACAATGCAAAAACCTTAAAGCTCAATATCTCGAAATCATACAGAACGCAGATAGAACCTTAAAATTCCAAGGTGATGAAATTAACAAATTAGATATACACAAATTAATGAAGTAAGTGAACAAAGAAACACATGAATTAAATAAACAGTGCTGAAGATCTGTATTCAGGTTCAGAAAATAAATAAATGTAAAGTTATGTGGCATAGTTTGAAATATACATTAATCCTTATTGATTTAAAAAGTTAGTCAGAGCAGTGAATAGCTTTTCTAATCTGTCTAGTAAAAATTAACTAACACACTTTTTAATCTCTGTGGTTCGATAAAATGTGCTTATTGTAAAAATTAATGAACATACCTAATATACTCATACACATGTGTGACATACATAATGATTTCAAGTCAACTGCAGCTACAGTAAATCTTGACCTCTTATAAAAACAGTTTACCAAACTTAACAGTTTCATTGCCATAATTTCCATCTATTCCCATCCCATCTATACACTTATGTTTTTTTATACATACAGTAGATATGTTCATATTTCATTTGTCTTATTCTATAATTTATTCCTAAATTAAAAAAGAAATGAAGTGACACAAGCAGATGATTCCATCTGTAAAAACCCTTGGCTCTAATATGTCAACAAAAAGAAACCAGATTTTTGCACTTGGCTTTATCCGGTGTTCAAATATTCGTTCTGGAGATGTATGCAAATAAGTGCAGATTTAAATTGATAATGGCTAATTTTCATATTTAAAAAGAACATTTGATAAAACTTGTAACATAACAAATGCTTACATTTATAATTGTAATCAACAACACGGGGTGTAAGATCTTTTAATTCCCTTACGTAAGAGTCTTTGTATGTAGAACAAATATCAAACCAGGCTAATTCTAATTTAGTACCTCTATATTCATCTTTGGAGAGAGCAAAATATGTCCCAGGAGTTACTTTTTCTTCTTTTTTTTTTTTTGCAGTTTTCGTTTTCGCAAATCGCCAGAGGCCAAAGAAGACGCTTTTTTAGATCTCAAATTTCTCTCAGGGGTGCCATTCGTGCCTGCTATTCCCATTTAAATTCACCAGAGACCGCTGTCAACTGACTAACTTAAGTGACTAACCGACCAATGCCTCCACCCTCCCTCTTCCCTAAACCCAACCAATAGTGTTTTAAAAAAGCACTGATTGACCCGAAAAGGTACGACAAAATGCTGCCATATGTACCTCTGGCTACATAATTAGTGATCTCCAGAATCATGTATAGGTCTATGTTTTCAGAATGAGCCTGTGTTTACAAATATGATTTGGCAATATGCTGCATGTTTTAAAACACATTATTCTGTAAATACAGTTATATACTCACAGTTTTAGAGTCCAGCTCTGGCGGGTTGTCATTGATGTCAGAAATGCTGATGAGGGCTGTGGCGGTGTTGGACAAACCGAAGTTCAAGTTTCCCTCCATATCAGTGGCCTGCACTATGACGGTGTACTGAGAGACTTTCTGAAACAACACAAAACAAATAGACTTTAAACAAATGAAGAGACACATCATACATAAATGAAAAATTATGACTGTTTTTAAAAGTCTATACAAATCATTTTGCATGTCCAAGAACAAGAAAACCCTAGGAAACCATTTTGTTAGTGTTGTCTCTTACAAATAACTGGGGATCCTTTTCATCCATTTTCTGTGATAGAGCAGCCAAGCGGTCCAAAAGTTTGCCATCTAAGCCTACACAAAGCCATCCTGCAAAGACTTTGAGACCGCATGTGTTTGGTAAATGGCGGCTCTTTGTGTTTGTCTGGGGATACGTCTGTCTATCTGTCTGTCTGCGTTTGCATTCAGGCTTTTCTGTTAATTAGAACAAGAGGCTACTGTGAGCTTTGTTCTGCTTTGATACTTTGTCACTCACTATTTATGGAAATACACTCCCCCACACACTGATAATCAGTGCGCAAAAACAACTCTTCATCAGCGGACATGAACCAGCCTGTTTGTAACCACGGATGAAAAGCAGAGGTTGCGAGGGCAACAGATGGATAGAAACACGAGTGCACACACACACACACAGACTCATGGAAGTGTTTGTTGTTGCATGGCCAACATTCCTGTGGGCACAGATCTGAAAGTGTGGCCCTGTCCATGCCTGGGTGAATCTGACTCCAGTTAGTCCACACACTGGGAGGAGACAGAGAGCTGAGCCCCAGCCAAAGTCTCTCCTCTGCCTCTTTCAGCTTCAGCCGCATTAATCCGGTTGGCCAAAAGCCTTGTGTTGTTGCAGACAGGAAGTAGGGGGAGTGAAGGACGAGTCAGTGCCCCGTTGAGACTGGTCTAGGGGACAGGGTTTGACTGACTGACTGCTGTGGCACAATGGAAAGCATCATAAGACCTTGCTGGATATCTTGATGCTTTGAATTTGGGGGCTTCCTTTTGTTTTATTTTAGTCATCTCATACATTTTAGAATAATTAAACACTGGTGGGAAATGTCTTCTAACTCTCTGGTCTTTTGTCTCCTCCAAAAATGTGGCAGATAGTCACAAGTCACTCTCTGTATGTTACCAAAACCAAAAGATTTAGTAAAAGCAAAACAACTGTTTTTCACTTGATTGAATGGGCGTTATCATTGGTTATCAGCTGATAGATATGGGCCAGTAGGGGCCTTCTGCGCCCACTGGTAGGCTCAGAAATAGTTTATCATCCATCCACATGGTTAATAAGCTATACTAATAAAGAAGGCTCCAGATCCAGATCTGTTTTCGCATTACTGTGACAGTGGGGTTTAGGGTTGGGATAGGGTAGATGTAATTAAATACAATTAATGGTAAATTTAATAAATAATATAATTAATTATTTTTAACTACACAGACATATGTGATCTATAGCTGATAAACCATGTGGCTGTATGATAACTGAGCCTACCAGTGGGGGCAGAAGGCCCCTACTCGCACATATCTATTAGCTGATAACCTCTGATAACACCCATTTAATCGAGTGATAACATTTGTATCGGCCGCCACAATGTGCATATGTTTTTCCAATATCGTGGCTTGGCTTTCGTGGTTGTGCATCACCTAGAAACAGCTGTACACACAACAGCAGCTTGATGATACAAGCGTACATGTGTTCAGAAGAAAAAAATAGTTGATGTTAACACAAACCAGCCAAAAAGGTGGCGAGGGGGGACAATCAAACCTAAGTTAGGACCAGTCAATGGAACCAAGTGTGAAAGCACCCTAATCAAGGTTTGAAACAAGTAAAAGGGGAGTAAATGATGACATGATTTTCATTTTCAAGTAAACTATCCCTTTAATTGTATGACATATGTTGGTACCCACAGTACACAGTTTAATTCATCCCAATTTATCTTTCTATCCAAAGATGTGAACTTGATTTATGAGAAAAACTGCAGCAACGCATAAAACATTTGCAAATAAAGCACCATTCCAATACAATGAGCCTACAAAAACAAAATTATCACTTCCTGATAAACTGGTGCCAAATATATTATATATATATACACACACAACAGCCTCTTAACCTTTCACCCTGGGAAATAGAGAGATAGAAATAGAGAGGACACTCTACCCCTCTACCGAGCAGAGGACACTCTATAGTTTGACATATATGACTGCTGTTGGACAACATAATGTACTTTTAGGGCTTTTTTAGTCAAGACTGTAATTGTTTAGATTGCAACCATGCAGTTTATTTATAAGGATAGTGCCTATTTAAAAATATCTAATTTCGGAGCATCAGATTTAGTGCATCAGCCACCATCAGCCTGTCTGAGCAGACCACAATAAGGGATGGTTGACGTTCTGCCACAAGATGGCGACAAAGACAGCATAATAAGCCCTTAGGGGAGAGAAACAGCAATCTCTCGGAATAAATTTCAAACTACAGCTGAACAAATCATTATAAATCAGGTAAGTGACATTCTAAGTCGATCTCTCTTTTTTGTATTTGTATTGCTGCATTTACACCACAGAAACTGGTAGTATTTGCACTGCTTTAGCTTTTTTGGGGGTTCATTATTGTGATATCCTGATGGCAACAGAGAATAGTGGGATATCTCTGTAGATTGAAGGCATTTTTTGCTGTTCAGCCCTATCATCTTAAAATGGTAGCAAAAATCACCTGTTTTGTCATCACTTTTGACTATGTTAGAGAATAATTCAAATACTAGCTCTAACGTGACGTTGGTGAATAAGCAGCGGTTTCTGCTGTTCTGGATGTCAGCTGCAGATGTTAAAATGGTGGAATTAAGTAGTTCCTCGTACAAAAGGTTTTTTTAGACTCTCCATGTTAGAGGTTCTTTTTTATACACACAATTTTGCTGTCTAACTGTCTAAACGCAATATCACACAAGTAGCAGTGTGATGTGGCTGTATATCATCCCTGGTGGGGCATGCCTCCCACCAGTGCTGATATACAGTCACATCACACTTCTACTTCTGTGATATATATATATATATATATATATATATATATATATATATATATATATATATATATATAATTATTATTATTAGCCCCCTGTTTATTTTTTCCCCCAATTTCTGATTAATGGATAGAAGATTTTTTTCAACACATTTCTAAATATAATAGTTTAATAAGTAATTGCTAATAACATATTTATTTTATCTTTGCCATGATGACAGTAAATAATAATTTACTAGATATTTTTCAAGACACTTCTATATAGCTTAAAATGACATTTAAAGGCTTGACTAGGTTAATAAGGTTAACTAGGCAGGTTAGGGTAATTAGGCAAGATATTGTATAATGATGGTTTGTTCTATAGACTATCAAAAACATATACAGCTTAAAGGGGCTAATAATTTTGTCCTGAAAATGGTTCTTAAAAAAATCAAAACAGCTTTTAATCTAGCTGAAATAAAACAAGTAAGACTTTCTCTAGAAGAAAAACTATTATCAGACATACTGTGAAAATTTCCTTGCTCTGTTAAACATCGTTTGGGAAATATTTAAATATTTTTGACTTCAATATATATATATATATATATATATATATATATATATATATATATATATATATATATATATATATATATATATATATATATATATATATATATATATATATATATATATCAGAATATCAGATAAAAAAAAATCCTACAAAGTTGCCATTTCTATTAAACAGTTTTTATGCAATATTCCTAAATGCACATAAAATGAGTTGAATGGAGACAGCTAATGAGGTTCTGTTACTGTAAGGTGAATTATTAGACAGCTCATTAAATCATGAGTTATAAGACGCTGCATTCACAGGCAATATAAGGCAAACATGCATCTCTGAAATCAATGTTTGAGAATCATCCTGACTACTAAAAAACCTTAATTTGATCTGCTTAAGGCAGCATATCATGTATCTCTTTCTGTCTATATCCTCTGAATATGATCCTCCTATCAGTAGAAGTAAATGAAATCAGTATAAATAAATATCTTATGCCATCATTTCTACAGGGAAATATGCATTGTGGTCACTAAATATTCATTTGGTTATCTCCAAAGCTCACTTCAATTTGTTCTAGCTCAATGAACGTGACCTTATGATGTCTGCAAGCCTCTGTGAAACTGGTTCATATAGAAACCATTTGGCAATTAACGGACTGCCCAGACAGCTTTCTTTCCCCTTCCGTCTATTCATCCATATTTCTGTCTCCTCATGTAGGTGTATTTAAGAGGCAGGTCAGGGACTCCTCAGAGGAGCACTCACAGTTTAAAGCACTTAAAGAACCACAGAGAACTGCGGACACATACTGAGAGTCATTAAAACCTGCGTCTTCTCGTTAATATTGCCCAGTTCGGCTCTATTAATGAGAACTCAATAGCGGCTGACCTTTATTAACACCATAATGAAATATCAATACTGTCTCCTCTGGTTATGCTCTGCAGAGAACAAGAGAAACAAATCAGTGTGTAATTAATCTCGCACACATTTCATACAGTGCCGGCTGCAAGGGACGGAAACGTGACACCGAGAGAGACGAGCTTAAACACATTTCCAGTCCTGAAGAGAATGTAAAACGATTGCACCTCAGGACAACTGGCAGAATCGGGGCGACTGGAGAGCAGATCCCAGTTTCACCCATACAGACTCTCACACGCTTGAGTCAACTGTTATGAAGAGCATTTCACAGCCCAACGGGCCCTGACCTCACTTCTCCCCGACACCGCAGACAGGAGAGGTGATAAGGGGAAGGAGACGATCGCATGACGGAGGAGAGAGAACTTATGATTCTCCTCATCTCGCACATACAGGAAGCTTTGGATCACTTGGGAATGACTGGGACACACACACACACACACACACACACACACAGGCTTTGCACCGATCGATTCCCTAATCAGGCGCGGCAGAGTGGACACGTTCTAACCCAGACCTGACACAACTAGGAGAGCACACACACATACTGTATATAAATACACACACACATCCACGTGCACACACACACACACACACACACACACA